GCGACATTGAGCCTTATCGAAGAAAAAAAAAGAATGTATAAATAACATATCTGGCCTCCATAATTATCTAGCAATATCTATGAATGTCTAGGGTTTAGGTGCAGAGAACGGCAGAGAGGGTCGAGATCGGCGGAAGAGCTGCATGCATTCGATGCACGTCGTCGAAGTCTTGAACCCTTCCGCACGCAAAGCCCTATGCCTTTTCTGGTCGCCTTCGTAACTAGTTGCCGAAGCTTCCTCCTTCACCGACATCTTGCAAGGCAAGATTTCACTAGCCGATCTCCAATGGTACATGTTTCTGGGCTGTGGAGCGATGTGTGGGTTGGCTTGACGGTTTTTGCAGGTGCTTTTCTCGGGTGTTGGCATGGGCGGCATTGGCATACTTGGAGGATCATAGGACTTAGTAAGTAAGGTTATAAGTCCCTTAATTGGGGTTATAAGTATAGTTACCCTAATTATAACCCTACTTACTAAGTCCCATGATCCTGTAAGTAGCCGCTCAAGCCGGTCGAGGGAGGCCGGTAGTTACCGGCCCTGAGCCATCTTAAACCCTGTTAACGCTTTAGCAGACGTAAAAGAACCGTAGAAGAAGAGCTCCCTGTCAACCGCAGGGGCTCCTAAGATGTCCTAAGCTGAGAGGGCCCCACAAGAACAAAAAGAAGGTGGCTGAAAGCCAGGGCGAGGGCGACAGGAGGGGGGTAACGATGGTTTTCAAGGCTGGGACTTGTCGGGGGAGTCCGCAGCTAGGGCGGCGGGGTGTTGGAAGGCGATTAAGAGAGCCATGCCCCTTTTTATAGGGGTGCCGTACTATATTGGGGACCTAAAAGGGGACCCGAATTTAGAGAACTACCCACGTGATGATGGGTTCATGATTCTGAACCCTGTGTGGAACGAGCGAACAAGCACCAAAGCCTCAACAAAAGAGCCAATGCTCGAAACCCTGTACCCCGAGGAAAAGAGCCGGCATCAAAAAGTAACCCTGCCCACAACCGACCACCCCAAAAGGCAAGCAAAACCTCGCAAGCCAAAACCTCTGACCTGAAAGCCTCCCTAAACCCACCTAGCCAAGGTTGCTCCTGTCTCCGAACGGCTTCTTCGACAACACGGAGGGTGCCAAAGCCTCCTTCCAGGAGCCCTGGCATGAAATTCGCCTTATCCTTTGCCTATATCATGCGCGATGCCCCGTGAAATTGTAGCATGTTACTTGGCACGGCAGCACCCTGGACGAGCACTCAGCCTCGTCACGAGGACTGCCCCAAAATGAAAGCCGCCATGCGACCAAGCTGCCTTGGTGTAGGGCACCAGTCACAAGCCCGTGCAATGAGTGTATCAGTCTGTGCAATGAATATCAGAAGTCCTTACTTAAATATTTCGAATCTAGCTGCCTCCACCTGCTTGTCTTCATGTATGGCGTAGGACATGCTTCTCCCCTCAGTGTTATATCGTCTTTTCCCATGTTTATCACAGCCATGACCGGTGCCATGACCGCTTGGTTTGTTGATGTGAGGAACCTCAGACCTTTTTTTGTGGAGTCGCCTGCAGCAGAATTGATTTTCCCTCCGCACACACACAGGGAGAACGTTGCAAAAATACTTCGGCTGCCTTTCAAAAGCGTGTCAGTGAGGCTTGCCGTGGACACCGTGCCACAGCTCCAGGAGTACATTGCGAAGCGAAAGCATACCATGTTCTGAGTGGGCTCGACTTCCAAAGAACCGTTGAGCAATTGGGTTTAGGGTTACGAGATTAGGGTTGAGCAGGGAACACTTGGAGGATCATGGGACTTAGCAAGTAATGTTATAAGTCCCTTAACTGGGGTTATAAGTATAGTTGCCCTAATTATAACCCTACTTACTAAGTCCCATGATCCTTTAAGCAAGGCCCCAGCCCCGCCAAAGTGCCATGGGCTGGGAGCAGCTGCGAAAAAGACCAGGCAGGTGGCTCTTGCCATTCAGAGTGGGCACTGGCATAGGCCGGTTCATCCGATAGCGGAATTGTGAGGTACGACACCTGCACCTCCTATACCCTAAGCCCTGAAAATCTTGACCCTTAACCCTCAAACCCCCTTAAGGCCAAGTACCACAAGAGCCGCCTGGTTTTCGGAGAAGGAGCGGCTCGGGAGCTCTTTAGTCGTAACCCCCTCTTATCATTATTCTTGATGAAATTATTACCAGCGCTGTCATTATTAGTCGTAATTATTAATGTTGTTATTACAATTTCTGTGTTTATGAAGTCTGCTTGCCTTTCTGGTTTTGGATGCCTCGAGCCGCTGCGGAGGGACAGACCGACCTCTGCACAGATGTAGCTGAATGTAGCTTCAAAGCTTCGCTGCGTTCTCTGAACGACTTGGCGCTGTGATTCGGGCCGGTAGGAGCAGTTGTGCTGCTTTCGGTTTGAGTGTCTCTGGAGCGAGCCAAGCACTTGGCACCTCATGTGCCGTTCTAACGAGGTGGATTGTGTAGGGCTTCCTGAGGCGGTACTGTGACGGCACAAAAAGAGTGAGACAAAATAGGAGATTTGAAATGTGTACCAGGTACCAGCAGTCACTGCAAAGTCTCCCATCAAGCACTTGCAGGCACCAAGCTACCCACCATCCCTACCATCCAGCCGAGCTGTAAATGCCTGTGAGTTGTCGAGGTTCCTGGCCGACTACGAGAAGTACATGGACTTCAAGAGCTTCGTTGGCAAGGGCGCCCACCGCCAGGAAGATCAGGCTCACAACTTCAAGGACAGCATGAGTTATGGCATAGACTGCTTCAGCGGTGTCTTCCCACAACATGTCCGAACCCGTTGACATCGGTCCCACCACAGACAGGGCCAGCTTACAAATATCAAAATCCGCCGCTCATGCTGTTTATCCCGCATTGCGGCGTCAGACTGCAAGGACTTTCTGAACTTCGAGAAGTATCTCCAGTACTCCAGCAAAGGCCAGTTGCTCAGACTCTTACTCCCAGCTCTCGAAGCTGGAGTCTCCCAGCAGAGAGATCTTCGTTGCTTGAACTCGAAAGCAGAAGGAGCCAGGACCAGTCGAGTCCGGTGTGGGGTGTATGTTGCTTCTTGTGTAGATGCTAGATTGACGAGCCGAAACGGGAAGACAGTCAGCACAATCCTGGTATGGAACGTGTGTCGGTGCAGGTCGGCCCCGCTTAGTTTCCTGATTTTGTTTCCAGCTGCTAGTGCAGTCGCCGCGTACGTCGGGGTCGCTTCCACATGTTTGTCAGCATGTCATTGAATCACATGTCATTGAAAAGCTAGAGAGAGAGAGAGAGAGAGAGAGAGAGAGCCCACTCCTCTCACCCCTAGCAAAGCAAAGCAAAAGAGAGTGAGAGAGAGAGACAGACAGGCAACTCCCCACCACAGCCCTGTCGAAAGAAAGAGACAGACACACACAGAGACAGACAGAGACAGACAGAGAGACAGGCAGAGAGACAGGCCTCAACCCTTGAGAAAGAAAAGAGACAGGCAGGCAGGCAGACAGCCAGAGAGACAGACAGACAGACAGACAGACGGACGGACGGACGGACGGACGGACAGACAGACACAGACGGACGGACGGACGGAGGGACGGACGGACGGACGCGCGGACGGAGAGTGAGAGAGAGAGAGACAGCCCTGGGGGACATACCTCACTGAATGTGCACTAGTTGGTACTTTTCTCTATATCGCTCTGTTCCGTCCAAGCAAACCTTATCACAGTCCCTTCAAAGCCCCATAACACATGGGGGGCCCATGTGGCCGAGGGACTTTAACCGTCCCTCATGCCCAGTGGAAGAAGAGACAGCTTTGCAACTTCTTAGCACCCGCAACAGTCGGGGACGCACTCGCGCACGGTGAGGGGGGAAACCCCCTCACCACAACCCTGGCGAAAGACAGAAAAAAAAGAGCACCAGAGCAAAGCAAAGAGAGACACAGAGAGCGAGAGAGAGCTAGGTGAGGGGGCTTGCCCCTCTTGACCCTAGCCCTGGCGAAAGGAAGAACGAGAGCTAGAGAGATAGATGGCTCAACAACCCTCCACCACAGCCCTGGCGAAAGAAAGAGATAGATGGACGGATGCGTGGATCCATGGATGGATAGTTAGACCGATAGGTAGAAGTATAAACAGACATCTGGTCACGTGCGATGCAGGTCTTCAAGACTCTACAATCATGCACATGGTCTGGACGGTTGCTTTTTGCAAGCTTGGTGTGCAGGCGCCCCGAGAACATGTGATTGAAGAGCCTGTCCCCAGGTGGCAGCGGAGACTACAACAAGTACTTTAGCCCGGGGCTTGTGATGGGGCTCAACTCGCTGGGTTCTAGATAAACCAACGGTCAGGTTTTTGCAGTTGACCAGTCTTGAAGCGTTGCTATTTTAGTTTGTTTCCAAGCACTTTGGTGTCATACCAGACGCCCACACATATGTGGCCTGACCTGCATCGATATCCTATGACTTAGGCTGTCAGGAACATGTTCAGTGTCATAGGATCCTGCAGAAATTATCGTGTTTCTGACATGGGGTCATGGGGGCTGCCCCCCTGTGACCGAATCCAAACCATTCGCGAAGCAAGCGCGCGAGGCGGAGTCCAGTTCGATGCCTTGGATAAGGCGACGGAGGGTCTCAAGCTCGGATCGACAGAGCAAGGCGGACCGTTGTGGAACCGTCGTCGTCGTCGTCGTCGTCGTCATCGTGATACCTCGTCACCAACGTCGTGACACCACCTCCACCCCGGAGGGCGGGAGGAAATGAGAATGAGGAGGCAAGGGCCGCAGAGGAAGAGGAGGGAGGAGTTAGTTAGTAGTCGCAGTAGTGGTGGTGGTGGTGGTGGTGGTGGTGGTGGTGGTGGTGCTGGTGGTGGCGGTGGTGGTAGTGGTGGTGGTTGTGATGTGTTGGTAGTAGCAGTAGTACTAGTATTAGTAGCAGCACCAGCGTGAGTAGCAGCAGTAGCAGCAGCAACGGCAGTGCAGGAGAAGTGCGGCAGCGGCTGTCGTTGTTGTCGCAGTGGCTGATGTCGTTTTAGCACAGTTTTCTTCTTAATGTTCAGAGATGTGAGAAGCCTTGCAAACCCGCTCAAAACCAATATCTCCGAGGCAGTGATGACGACGTGGGCTCTAGCGGCTCTAGCGACACACAGTCCAGCCGCCAGGACCGCAAGCTAAGGGCACCACATTTCCGGCAGACTGGAAGCAGGCTTTCTGTAAGACCTACGAACTTTCGGAATTTTGGAGCTGGCTTCACAGGCTTCACAATCCAGGATCGGGAAACGGGGTGGAATGTTCGTGACGCTGAGATTTCAGCATCTCCAGTTGCTGGAAGCACATATTCGCTCCGAGCTGGGCCGAACGTACAAGCAGTGTTGTGGTCTGGGTGGCTGACCTTTGCCTTGTGCGGATAGCTGATGCCGGTAGAATCTGCGTTTGTGCAGGGTTTTCATCCCCTACTGGAGCAGTGAAACCCTAAACCCTAAACCCTAAAAAACCCACCTGCCGCTCTCTGCCTAGTTCTGTCCAACTTCGGTGGCGGAAACATGGGACATGGCTTCGCCCAAGCCTCAGATGTCCTTGCTCTCGGCTTCCGGCTTCCGGCTCTGTCCTGTAATGTGCGGGGCCTTAATAATAACATATTATACCCCATACTATTTTGGGGGTTCCTTACTAAAACATACTAAAACTATAGCATAATATACCCCAAAACCCTATTCTAATTCTTCAGGCTATTACAAAACCCTCCATGTGCTCCACGCCATCTTTTTCCGAGGTGCCTTCCGGCACAACAGACGGCGGCCCGAAAGGCAAGGCCTTGCACAGCTCCACAAGGGAGCAGAAGCAGAGGTGTTGTAAAATGTAGCTTCTGGGTTGTAGTTTTGGGGCCCTGACAAGTATTTGTTACCTTTATGGAAGCCATAAGGGAAATCTTAAAGTTTCCCAAATTTCCACCTGGTGACAGATTTGATGAGGGATGGGCAGGTACTTATGTTACTTATAGCTTGCGGGTAACGGAAACGAAGAGGTTGGAGCTAAACACAACACTCCTTATATAAGTCTGTATATATGGTTCACTGACAAGTAGGATCCCTATGCTAGTAAAGGCACTAGGGCCACTAGGGCCTCAGGATAGAGAGGGGGGGGGGGCGGGGCCCTGCTTAGTGTGCAGATGTCCGGAATCCGCAGCCTTTTAAACCCGAGTCTTCTCTTTACTTCAGACTCGTGGACGATGAAACTTTTCTTCGAAGCAGCCCCTGCATGTACTTGATGGGGTCAGGTGGCCTGCCTGCCGTCACAAACGACTTCCGGCAGTACATGGCCGCTTGGCCCGTGAGATTGTCGAAGTAAGCCTTACCAGAAAAGCTGTAGCGGGGCAAGGGCACCCTTCCACGTGGCTGAGTGGCGGGCTTGGGTTATCGGTGAAGCCTTGAAACGCCCAGGACTATTCCAAGTACATGGGAATCTCCCACCAGTACACCCAGAAGGACCGAATCTTGCAGTTGTTGCGGCCCAGTGTGCGTCCTTCACCTGTGTTCAGAGTCATATGGGAGAGCAAGGACGAAGCCTATCAGTCAGAACTTGGCAAGTTTGGCAGGCAGTGCTTCGTGTGCATGCCAGAGCTCGAATGAGCAGCGCACATGCACGCGCGAAGCCACTCAGAAGTCGTGGGGTCGGATTGTTAGATTTTGATTCGTCAAGGTCTTCACACTGGTCCAGTCCTGAGCCCTGACAAGATCGCGCAGAGCTGCAGCAGCAAGAAATTGCTCGCATGGGACAGCCCAATGTCCTGCAGGACTGGATGAGCGAATGGCAGAAGTTCCAGCAGGAGGGTAGCCAGGACCAGCAGGTCCGAGCCACCAAGGAGATACAACTTTTGCCAGTGCATGTGAAGAGAACGAGGTAACGACAAAACTTCCGGGTCGTTCCGGACAGGGGTCCATGTCAGCGTTGGTCTTACGGATTCTAAACTGGTCTCGTTTGCACAAAAAACCATGGCCAAGGCTTTTTTCAGCCCATGACAGGTCCCCTACTCGCCGAAGGACTGCAAGACCGAAGCGGAGCTCAATGCCTGGTGCAGACCGGCACGTTTCATTTTGTGGATCTTGTCGGGTTGTTGGTGAGTCCATGTTTTGGGGCTTGCTTTACATGTGCCTTATGTTGCTGGATGCAATGCTTTCACATGCCCTGGATTGCTCTTACAGTTTTGACTGTTCCATCTCTCTTTTTTTGGATGGGGGGGGGGGGGGGTTGCGGCGGTTCGGGGCGGACTGGCAGGAAGGACAAGCAGACGAAGATTGCCAAGACCTGGATTCCCTCCATGTACCAGGCACTTGGAGTTCGAGAGGTTTAACCCGCCAGAGCCCCCTGCGGTGTAAAACTTCCGTTGGCATCTTGTCCATGAAATGAAGCACGAGAGCAGGGCAACCCAGTTGAAGTTCAAACAAGGAGTTCCTACAAAGATTGCAAGCTGGCTTCCAGGAGCCGACTCTGTCCAGCATCGACAAGGAGCTGCAGATGCCGATCCAAGACATGAGTGGCTTGGGGGTGGGGCACAGGACTTTCCAAATCCAAGCCGCATGGATAAAAGCACGTAAGTCTCATGTACACGTCCGTGTGAGGAGTACAAGGACAACCTGGAGCGCATCAAGCATCCGGAGTCCCAGGCCACTGTGTTCAGCTGGAGGGTGTAGACAAACCTGCGTAACCAGCAGATTCTTCGCGTGCTCTATCAAGTTATCCTTTCCGGGCGTGTTACCCAGCTAATTACGTTCTTGCTTGATGAATTTCTATGGTGGGCATTGTACCGGACGACGAAGGTCCCTCTGTTCCCATTGTAGCGCTGCGCGACCGAAGCCCTCTAAACCCCAAGCCGAAACCCTGACCTCCAAAACCCTAAACTGCAAACCGCTTAAAGCCTAGGCCCTGCAACCAGTCTGCAAGCCTCGAATCCCAAACCCTAGAGTCTACCTTAGAGACCCTAAACCCTAAACCCTAAACCCTTTCTCTCCGTGGCCGCAGGATGCCGCCGTCCCCCAGCCAGAGCCGGTCGTGCTCTCCAAGGAGCCGGAAGCTGCAGCCATGTGCAGCCGATTTGATGTCGGCTTTCGCTTATTAAGGACTCCTTGGGTAAGGGCTAAGGGTTCCACGAAGGGTTCTATACGAGCCTGACAAGGGTTTCCTGAGGGACTTAGGGTTTGTTTTTTTGAACTACCGGTTTGGTGAGGGTGTTTGGTGCTTCTTGGGAATGTTGGTGAGTGTACCAGTACATTTCTTAGGTTTTGATGTAGGAGACTAGCAACATCAACCTCTCGTTTGGGTTATTTTTCTGGGTTTGGGGTTCAGGATTCAGGATCTACGAAGGACCGACTCAGGCCACGAACGTTCGATCATACACAGGAAAGAAGCAACAAACACGGATAGCCTAGGATAGTAGTAGGTCTTGTCGGTTCTTGACGGTAGCGCTCATCAATGCTGCTTACCTTAACATCGTGAGCCCTATAATAAAGCCTAAACCCTAAACCCCTGCCTCATTGAGGCTCTCTACCCGTGAACCTTGCGAGGTGGAAAAAGGCCCTCAAAAAAAAAAAACCTGACTGGCGACTGTAAACCGAACCCTAAACCCCAAACCCCAAACAGCCTAAACCCCTAAACCCCTAAACCCCTAAACCCCAAACCCCAAACCCTAAACCTCTAAACCCTAAACTCCCAAAGCATACCTTAACGACAAGGATACAGCCAGGTCTCAGAGTCCCCGGGCGCCGATTCGGGGCCTCTCGAAGCTGAAGCCCAAACCTCTCAGGCAACAAGAATCCTTTAAGGGCTCCTTTAAGGGATCAGCAGGGCTCCTTTAAGGGATCTATGAGGCTCCTTTAAGGGTTCCTGTAAGGGCTTTGTAGGGCTCCTGTAAGGGCTCTGCAGGGTTCCTGTAAGGGTCCATTTTGTTCCTTTAAGGGCTCTTAAGGAATTCCTGAGTCCTTGGTGAAAGGCCGGAGATCAGAACCCTGAACCCCGAATCGCCTGGATCGCAAACCCACAGTCTACCCTGACCAAAAAACCCTAAACACCCCTAACCCCCAAGCCCCAATACACCCTAAACTCTAAATCCCCAACCCCCAAGCCCTACTCGGCCCCAAACGCCAATAGGCCCAAAACCCCGAGGCCCTTATAGGACCCTTCTAGGCCCACCTTACAACAGGAGGCCCCAGCTCCGCAGCCGCGATCCGAGCGACCCTCCGCCGCCGGTGCTCGCAGCGCGCAGACCGCGACGGAGCTCGTCGCCGGGGACCTGGGCAGCGACGACGAGTTCTTGCCATCATGACTATAATAGTAGTAATGTTGGATATTCTTGTTACTCTTATTGCTTCTCCGCCTCCTTGTGTTTACTTCGGAATATTTGCAAGGTACATTCTTGGCCGATCCTCCTCCTCCTAATCCGGCATGAAACTCGCACTGGTAGCAGTGTGGATATTTTGGCCACTGTTATCGTATCTCCTGCTGCTTCTTCTTCTTCTTCTTCTTGTCTTTTTTACTTGGGAATATATGCCAGGTGCGGTCGTGGCCGTCCGAACCTCCTCCTCTCGCGCCTCCTCCTCCTCCTCCTCCTCCTCCAAAGCCGGCATGAACTCGATCCCAGATCCGTGCTGTTCGAGCCGATTGGGTTGCAGCGTGAAGCTGCACCAGTGGAAAAACCACGTCAAGATGGTAATCAGGAGCATGGTGTTGATTGACCAGCAGCAGTGTCTCTCGTTTCCTCGCTGCAGGGGTTGCCTTGGTCTGAGGCCCTGCGGTTTAGTTCCTGACACCCCCTTTGGTTGTCTTCTCCCTCTCACGCGCCTTTGAGGTTTAGTTTCTGTTTACCGTTAGGATCCCGTCCTGCGGCGGCGCTGCAGCCCTCGGTTAGCATATACAAAAGATGATGGTGAGCACGATGATGTTGCCGCTGACGATGTTGCTGCTGCTGATGATGATGGTGGTGACGACGGTGATGGAGATCACGACCATGATGCTGCGGACATCGACAACGATGATGCTTCAGTTACATATGATGATGACTGTGATGTTCGTGATGACGGCAGTCCGGTAGTCATGATCACTGATCCGATTGTCCTGACGGCAATGCCGATGATAGCTGACACAGGACATGATGATGTGTCGACGTGAGGATGATGACGATGATGGTTTTGATGATTATGATGATGGTGGTGATGATGATGGTGATGACGACGATGACGATGTGGCGAGTATGATCATGATGATGGTAACGATGACGATGATGATGACGTTGATGGGTAGGTGATGACTCGATGACGGAGTCATGCTCAATCACAGTTATCTATTTATCACCATCGTGATCAGTGCTATGGCCATGGATCCTGACTGTGAGAAGCCAGTGCTTTCGTCAGCATCGCAGGTCGCTCACGGATCGAACCCTGTCACCTGGACTTATCTGGGAGTTTCCGAAAATTAGGGGTACCATATTTTGGGGCCTTTAAAATAAGGATCCTATTAGTTAGGGTACTATATTAGGGTCCCCTATTTTCGGGAAACCCCCATCTGAGAATTCTTTGTCCACAGCGTTCCGAGGCCTGGAGGGGGCAGATGGGAGCCATGGTGGAGACTCTCCCAGCCACGGACCCGCGAGCCCATGCGACTACATGCTTCGGTCAGCGTGTAGCATGTCATGCTGTAAACGAGTAGTTTGAAGCATCCTGTTCCCAACTTCTCTGTGTTTAGAAAGAGCTCTTCTCCAACAGAACGCGAGGGTACAGCAGATGGGCCTTGCTTAGCTGGTTTTGTTGAAGGCGCAGAGCACTTCTGCTGCACCGTTTCCCATCAAGGAGGGTGGCATGTCCCAGACCGTGCTTGCAGGAGCAGGCCGAATGGAATGCCGTCTTGGACGGCGAGATGAAGGCGAAGGGTAAACTTGCGGTCACGCAGAAGTGCCCACTATGGGATTGTACGTAATTTGTTTTGATAAAGCGTAAGGGGCATCGCATGTGCACGAGACTGCGGTTCCCTGGCACGGAAGACCGATCTTGCTTCCAAGCAACGGCCAATCTCGGCACTGCAGATTCCCAGAGTGGCCCGTACATCCACACGGGGCGGAGCAAGCCAACAAGAGCTTCGTTGTTGATGAAGACCGCATGCACATGAAGCAGGCTGCTTTCAAGCGGTTGGGAGCTGATTCCGAGACCAGTGATGTGAAGCTGCTGGCGACGAAGGTAGGGCAAGCATGGTTGAACGCTTGCTCTGCAAGGGCTGAACAAGCTCGTTCTTTTCAGCCGAACATTGGAGAAGTTGAGGTTTGCATGCACATCTTGTCACCTCGTCATCGCCAGTTGAGGGCAGTACGCATTAGAGCTGACTCGTTCCAGGTTGGTTGTGGGCCTCGGATCCCCTACGAGTTCTACCTCGCTCTGAGGGTAAGCAATTAGGTTCCGGAAACTGCCAGGCCGGCTTAAGCAAGCAAAGGCCATTTATAAATTCTTCGTAGCCGACATCTCAGTACACTGACGAGTCTCAGGAAGAGATATCACTTGCCTGAACAAGACGCCCTGAGATTTCAACCTGGCCGCTTTGCCAGGTCCCTGCAGCACAGAAGTCCTCCAACTTTAGCCGAACGCTGCTGGTTTACGCCTTGGTTACAGCTGAGAAAGAGGGCGGCTGAGTGTAGTTGATGGAGTATGAAAGACAATCCCGGCAACGTGTTCGTCTTGTGAGACACCGACTATCCCTGGGTGCTGGACAGCGTGCCTGACCAGACTCCCCAGTAGGGAACACCTCCGCGGCCAAGGCCTTCGTGGTGAGCTTTAGCATGCCTGTGGCCGGCATGTACATCTACCGTGCCATCAAGCAGGCGCGGAAGTGAGTGGATTGAGTTTATGATTTACGTTGAGTCTGGAGCCCGCCGATTGCGGGAATGTCAAAGACAGTGCTGTGCCGAGATGATCGAAGAGACATTAAAAACTGACAGACACCCTTTTACCCTTCGGGACCTACCCACCGAGCTGCTTACGCTCGCACATGTACGTATACATCATAAGCGTACGAATGCATACATGCTTGGATACCTGCTTGCCTAAACATTTATATGAACATACACATGCTCATGTGCATTGATGCAGTCAAAGCTGGGAAATTTTCTGGTCATGTCCTTGCAATGCAAGCAGAGAGAGCATCTGAAGTTGGCGCAGCAACAGGTGCCCGGCACTGATCTCGACGCGCGATTCCTCGCAGCAGACGGCCGGGCGGGTTTGGCTTCAGATGTCGTCCTGAAGCGAAACAGACACCTGGACTAAGTAATACTCCTCTCCAACATCATTTAGGGAGTCCACTCCAAGGTACTGTCATGAAGAAACCAGGGTATGTGCTATAGATCCCTATCATGGTAACTTACTCAACTCCACTTGTCTGCTGTTGCTCTAGATCCCTTGTTTCGGAGCTCTGTGCCGGTCTCTGCAGGTGAGGCGTGAACTCCATGAGGCATGTCCCGGGTTCCTAGAGCTGAAATCCGCTGAAGCTTCTTATAGGGATGCTGCTGCAGTAGTTGCCTTTCGGGTTGGTTGAAATCTTGCACATTTCATATTCCAGTTCCGCTTGCCGGCTGCTGCTCGGGATGTGGGACACGCCAGACGTTTGGCCAGGCGGTATATATCTTGCCACGCAGCCTCTACACTTATGATGTCCCGGTCCTGTTAACGCTATTATCTCGGGAAATAATAAATAATGGGATTATTTTGAGATTGCAGATGGAATCGAGGCACTCAGGCAATCAAACAAGCAATGGGAAAAACATGGAAAAAATATGGGATTGGAATCCCGTGGCATTCTGACTTCAATGTTTCTCCGATTTGGTTGCAGGGTGCACTTGGCATTTGATTTTTGTTTCATTTTTTTCCCATAGTCCCCGTGCGGCCCCGATCCATCTCATTTTTTTCCCATGTTTATTTCCATTTCTTTTCCATTTTTGGTTCCATTTTTCCATTTTTTTTTGATTTTTTTCCCCAATGCTTCAGGGAATTTGTGTTTTTTCCAGGCTGGAGGCCCCCTCGGCCGGGGCCCAAATCCCACCCGCACGCAATGGAAAAAAAATGGGAAAACAACAAATTCAGAATGCTTGTCCAGGG